AGTGGTTTAAAATAATGTGAATAAAAGCCACAAACTGGCTGTCACATGGTCTCTGTCCTGTTTTAATCCAGAAATGTTTCTCTTATTTACTTGCCCAAAGTCATGAAGCCTCACAGGAGTCTCTGTCATAGAGCTCCTTTACTCCCCAAACTCCCATAATGCATCACTTCCCATCCTCCTCAGGTCGCTACAGGATGAAGAAGAAGAAGCTTTACTGTCATTGTACAAGAGATGCAACAAAATGTAGTTTGTTGTCGTCTTTGCAGCAGCTGATGATTGTCATCGTCTAAGAAAAAACGTTCTTAAAATAAATAATCTAGTAAAAATTTATGAAATTACAAATATTAATTAAATTAGTATTTAATTAAACCGATGACATCAGATAATGCAGTTAATCTACGATACTCTGAATGTGTGTTATCTGGAAACATGGTTGCTCGAGGCGTTCTTATGTTCTTGAGCTCCACAGGTTTTATTTTTACTGATTCACTGACAGGATTTTGTGTTTTTTCTCAGCGACTTCTCGTCTTGTGCTCCTCTGGGCCGATCCATGCACACCATGACGCCCACGTCGGACCAAACTCTGCTCGTATACGGAGGTTTGGGCACAAACGGAAAGACTCTCAGTGAGTATTGATCCATGACAGACGACCACAGAGAGGCGCGATGGTCCTTTAAGCTCCCTACAGTTTATAACAAAGAGCTCATAATCTGTTTTTTGGGAGATGATATCTCTCTTCTCGTGTGGTTTTTTAGCTGATTTTATTTTTTTGTGCATGTTGAAGTCCATGCAACAGCGAGTAATTCTCTCTGATAGAAAAGTGGTAAAAGAAATATTCAGATTGTTTAACTCAAGTAAAAGTACTGATACAGGAACGTTCACATACTCTGTTCTGAGTAAACGTCCTGTGTGGCTGCTACAGCCTCAGTGATGGACTGATTCACTCATTCTCTGATATTTTCTGGGTTCTTTCCTCCTCTGAGACAGAAAAATGAATTTTTTCCCCATTTTGAGGAATTTTTAGACCAAAAAACAAATTAATTTAATCAGGAAAATAGTTAACAGATTGAAAACAGTCTTTAGCTGCAGCTCTGCTAAATATTAGCAGCAACGTATCATTAAACTATGAAGGTTACATGATCGTTTTATAATTAAGTCTATAAAACGATTGAAGCTTCCTGTGTTTTAATCTTTGTCTTATTGTAAATCTATTTCTTTCAGATGACGCCTGGCAGTTCAACACAGAGAACAGAGAATGGACCCAAGTGACGCATTCACACAAAGACAAGCCCAGGTGCATGGTTCATAGTTCATAGTTCATGGTTCATGGTTCATGGTTCATGGTTCCTGGTTCACGGGTCACGGTTCACGGTTCTTGGTTCATGGTGCATGGTGCATGGTGCATGGTGCATGGTTCATGGTTCACGGTTCTGGGTTCCTGGTTCCTGGTTCTTGGTTCACGGTTCTGGGTTCATGGTTCACGGTTCACGGTTCTTGGTTCACGGTTCTTGGTTCATGGTTCATGGTTCTTGGTTCACGGTTCCTGGTTCCTGGTTCTTGGTTCTTGGTTCCTGGTTCCTGGTTCCTGGTTCATGGTTCACGGTTCTTGGTTCTTGGTTCTTGGTTCATGGTTCATGTTTCATCACTTCTTCCTGTTAAAGTTGTGCAGGTTTCAGAGGAAAGCTAAATGCTACAAACTGTATTTATCAGGTCGTTGTAGGTGAATCATCATCATGTTTAATCTCATGAAAATCAACATTTTATTCACAGAGTTCCTATATTTTTATCCAACAACATACAGTCGTGACTCAATAATCGACCCTTAACAATCCTAAACCTGCTATCCAACAGGTTTTTTAGGAAAAATGAACAGAACCCATAAAAACAGCCTTAACATAGCGACAGCCTTGGATTCTGACTCCGACATGACATTTAATATCAAATCAGAGAAAAAGTATTAATTTACTTAAAAAACAAGCCAAAACTGTACACGTGGTTAAAATCTGTATTTTTTACAAATAGTAATTCATTCTTTTTACAATATTTAACTGTAAAATCACACAATTTTACTGCCTTTAAATGAGCTCAAAATATCATTATTTAAAGATTTTTGTTGTTTTTAGGTCTTTGAACAGTGCAGCGTTCTACCGTGATGTATTTCTGGCACCTTTGCTGCTGAATTTCTTCATTTTCTTTCTTTTTACCAATCAGTAGCTCACAGTGTTTCTAAACAAGCCTTCTGCTCTCCGTCCGTCCATCAGGGTTTGTCACTCGGCCTGTCTGGGATCAGACGGTGACGTGGTGGTGTTCGGAGGCAGCAGCAACCTCTGCATCCTCATCGACTCAGTATGTGATCATCTTCAGGTTTACATTTATTAGTGTTTGTTGCTCCACGGCGACGTCTGAACTGAGAGAACATGAACTTCTCCCATGAAGACACCAGCAGAGACGTGGTTCTGTAACGGAACTCGTCACGTGAACAAACTTCATTATTACAATTTAATTATCTTGCATCGTTTGACCAGACGGGTCGTCTCGGGGCTCCTCACACAGCAGCACCAACGACGTCATCAGACTTCATGCTGCTGTTAACGGTGTTTATGAGAACATCTTCAACAGTCTTCCAGGTTCCCACAGTGTTAGAAATTCAGGACAAAAAACTATTTACATCAAGACAACCTCAACAAACTCTTCTGCAAACTCCAGAGAGCTGTTTCATTATGCGACATCTTGCTCCTCCGTTCACTGTTTTAGAGCCGCGCTGCTTTTATTTCATTCATCCAGCATGTTGTGTTTAGTCTCTGATTCGTTAGCGAGCATGTGGAAACACTGCCTGCAGTTCAACCCAAAAGATTTTTGTAAATCACAGCTATCTTCTTTTTTTATCCTGAAAAACAACCCAGAATTGTTTTTGGTGCAGGACCAGTTAGCGGCAGTGGCTGATTTTTCTTTTTTTTTATTTTTGGGGGGTGTATTTTGAATGACTGGTATTGAATCGATGGTTTCTGATGAAATCAACCTGGATTCAGAGCCACCGGTCTGGGAGCTGCTTCCAGAGCAGAGCAGCCTGATAAGCGAAGGATCTGCAGAGCAGCCTGCAGTCTGAGAGCCAATAATAGCTCGAGATTAGGTGAAAGTGTTGCATAAAGAAAGCTTAAAGGCTTCCAGGACTCAGATTACGAGGAGCACCTTCACTGACCAACGCTTCATACGGTGCATGCAAACTGAATTTCTGAGTCCTCTGACCGTCTGCAGCCATGACAGGGACTCTAAGGAATAATTTAAACATTAGAAAACAAATAAAATCAAAGCCTGCTCACAGGGGATTCAGGGAACTCTTTGATTTTTCACGTGTATGTTTGTAGGGTCAAAACTTTCTCCTCAATTAGTCAAATTAATCTCCATATCTAATAACAATGTTGGAATTTAGGCTTAATATTTGTATTGGTTAGGTTAAGTTGTGTAATTTATAACACCATAGGATGTTAGTTTATGACATTAGTCAGGCTGTTCTCCATAATGAATAACATGGTAGGTTTTCAGTCTTAATGTTTTATAGTCAGATTTTATATCATTTTTGTTAAATTAATATGATCAAATCCAATCATAACTAACTATATAGGCTCTTAACTCCATTATTTAGACTTGTTAGGCTAAGTTGTTTGTCTAATTTTAATATTTGCTAGTAAAAAATAACCCATTTAAATCTGTTCATGCTCTGACTATGCTAACATGCTAACGACATTTCACCTCATACTCCTAAATGCTCCTGTAGTGCAACTGTAGAGAAGGTTGTTGATTTCAATAAAGTTTTGGTAACTTATCCAGTTGATGCCGACCCATCTGATCTTTGCAGAGAGATTTCAGTCACCGTTTTACTGCCTTTTACACTTTATTTCTGCTTTCATGTTCCCATCCTTTAAAAACGCTGAAACAAAACCGAGTGTGATCAGCGTTTTAAGCATCGTCCGCCCTCGTGTTGTCGTCAGGTGGCTGTTCTGAGGCTTCCATCGCAGCATCACTGCAGAGACGTGTTCATGGTCCAGACTCAGCCTCATCCTCTCTTCAGGTACGACCGGTATCCACATGGTGTGGTTTTCACTTAGCGGCTGCTCACATGTGTTTCTGGCAACATGTGAGCTCACGGCTGCATGTTGCCTCCGTTCACACATGAATAATCAGTTTTAACAAAGTCCACAGAGACGCTGGAAACACTGACAGCTATTAATACTGTGAGCTCCCCGCTGGATGTTTGCTCACATACAGCCGGTGTTATGCTAATGAGCTTTACCTCGTTATTGTAGCTGTGGCACGTTTGTGTGAAATGTTGGGATTAACGTGACTCACTTGAGATTTAAGTGTTTCAGTTTATATTATGTAACACC